TTTCCAAGGTTGTAAAACCTTACAGAAGCAGACAGCCACATTTTTATCCTACAAAGCAAGTGTTGGGTTCGAACTGCCAACTTTTCCATTGGTGGCAACATGCCTATCCCACTGTGTCACCAGGGCTCCATGATGCATTCCTTACATACTCATTCTTCTACTCTTTACAGCTTCTCTGAAACGTAGATGCTAGTGTCCTAATTCACAAAGAAGCAGTGCTCGAAGAGGTCATGTGATATGTTCAAAGTCGCATGGATTGCGTCTCTGAACCAGAGTTGTGTGTCACTTGGAGAGCCCCAAGCACAAATCTTTGTTGAGTCCCAAAGGTAGATGGCAAATGTCCAAGGGGCTGTAGCCCAGGCTTAGGGTGCAATGCTCCTTCCGTGCCCCCTGTGGTCTCTCCCTGAGCCACCCGGCAGTCCCAGGCAGCCGCAGCCATGTGTCCCCTCAGCAGCCCTCCACCCAGCAAGCTGCTCGTCCACCAAGCCAGAAGCAGAGCCACACAGAGGGAACACACCCAGCAGGTTTGGGCAGAAGACAAGCCAAGGGCGGGGTGGTGCCTCTAGCTGCAGAGTTCATCCCTCGATACCACAGATACACCACAAGCATGTCTGGACTCAAGTTCACGAGAGCCATAGTGTTCCAGTGACTTTGACTGAGGGTTTAACTCTGGGAGTGGCCATTGCTGTGCCCCCAGTAGCCAAGTTAATATCATCAGTGAGCCAGGAACCCGGAGGGAACAGGATGAACTAAATGCAAAGACCCCCAGACCTCTTTGTCCACTCAGGGGCTCATTCTTGCGGCCACATCTGCCTCCAGCTGTTCTGCCAACTCAACCCCAGTCCATTAGACTCTGCATGGTCTCTGACATCTCTTGTTCATCTCTTGTGCCATGTGCTCATTTTCACTGACTCATTTAATCCCTACAGGAACTCTTTAAGGTTGAGCACTGTTACTCCACTTATAGATGAAGATACTTAGGGTGAAGAGGTGCCGTAAGCTGCCCACACGATGCAGCTAGTCAGGTGCAGGCCCAGGGCCAGAGCTTGGGCCTCACTGGCTCAGTGCACACAACCTTGGTCATCCTTTATGTCCTGCAGCTGTGGGCACCCTGCACTCATGGGGCCCAAAGATCCTCAGGCTCAGCTCTCTGTTGTACATGAAGGAACTGAAGCCCAGAAAAGGGAAGACATTTACCCATGGTTGCAAACTCAGAAAGAGCGGGCCCTTGAGCACTGCAACTCGCTGACCAAAAGGTCCATTGCCTCCCGTCTGCCCTGAATTCAGGGAAAACCTGCCTTGGATCAGTTTTATAAGTTTCTTTCTCCTAAACTGAGATTCTTGGGTTGGACTGAGTTGTGATTCTATGAAACTCTGAGCAAAGGGACTGTGATCAGAAAAGAAGGTCAAAACCTTATTTTGTCCTGAGGCGTGCTGAGCTCTAATTTGGTCTAAAAATAAATCTCCTTCCAGGGTGAGCAGAACCAGGAGCTTGGCTGGCTCCTGGCCTTCTCTCCCTGTGGGCCCCATGTGGCCAGATAATGGGGAGGTGAAGAGACCTTTCCCCCCAGAACACACACTTTTAAAGCTCATGATATACTTTGTCTTCGGGCCAAAGATTTTCTGAAAGATGACAGATAACTCCTGCTGCTGGCATGCTGTACTCTGGGCAGCTCTCAGTTTTCTCCGAAAAAAAGTGAAATAAATGAAAACAGCGCTTTACAAAAAAAAATCTATAAATGGGTGGGAGCCAGTTGTCGTTTTCCTCTTCCTCCCCCTCCCCCTCTTGACAGACTTAATGAGAATCCAAGTTGAGAAGCGCTCACTGCAAACAGCTGGTAGCATCATGGCTTTAAATAGCCCTTCTCCACGCTGCTTCCCCGTGGCCCGTTCAGCTTGCTCTGGCAGGGAAAGCCCAGGACAGAAATGGGCAACTTTAGGACTTTCTGAAGGAGGAGAGAGATTGACCTGAAAGCATGCTCCCTCTCACCAAGACCTTTTGAATCGAAGATTGCACCATTGAAGCCCCCCACCCCCCCACCCCTGACTCCCCAAGGCTACCCTGGTCAGAGATGGTGAGGATGGCACAGGAGAGGACAGGGTTCAGATCTGTTGTCCAGAGGGTCGCTGTGGGTCATACGCAGCGTGATGGCACCTAACAACAACAGCAACACTGCAGGAAAGCAAAGCTCAGGGCATCTCAGTGAACCGGTGCCCCGGCCGCTTGTCCTCAGAGTGGAGCTCCGTGTACCATACACATCACCACCCTTTGCATTATGGACTCTGTTACATGGTGCGACCCATGGAAAAGGTCTAGACCTAATTGTGGGAGAACATCTGGCTGCCTCAGGACTGCGTGGATTGGGGTATGAGTGGAAGGGGGCACTTTTCTTTCTTTCTCACTAATCATTTACTTAGTTTGAAATTTGAAAATGGGTAAGAGTTTCTAGAATTTCACTGTCTGCCCTCCTTAAGCCTTCTTAAGAAGCACATAATGGGCTGCTTGTAGATGAGTGACCATCATTAGTTACTGTAATTGAAGCCACTACATCTTTACAAGGTGCTTCCAGTGTGCGGGGTCCAAGCCAGGCCTGTGGTTTATCTGGGGGAGGATGTGCTCCCTGCATCCAGGGGCTGGTGGTCAGGCCTGGTGGGGAGTGTGTGTGTGTGTGTGTGTGTGTGTGTGTGTGTGTGAGATAGAGACCCTTGAAAGAGCCATAGAGAGTGTCTGTGCAGGGAGAGAACCTTCTGTAACCAGAGGAGCTTTGAGGGGTGGGGGATAATAGAGTGCAAATAAAGGCTAAAGGTGTGAAAGGACATTGTATGGGGCGAACAAGTGGTCCTGTTGAATGGAGGGTGGGGTGTATATTGATCCCTGCATCTATGAGGGACCAGGAATGAGTGTCAATTACATGTAATGTGACTTGATGGGTTTTTCCTATAGTTTTACCTGGAGAGAGACTTTCACTAGCTTCTCAAAGGGGTTGTAGTTGTTGGGTTGCCATTGAGCAGGCTCCAACTCCCAGCACCCATGTGCACCACAGAGCGGACGCCGGCCCACAGAGCACACAGTCCACCCGGCAGGCGTGGCTGCAGGAGAGGGAGCCCCAGCCAAGGGGCCCAGGGTCTTTGTGCCATCCTCACAAACCCTGTGCTTAGACCACTACAGTCATTGTGTCGATCCATTTCATTGAGGGTCTTCATCTTTCTCACCAACCCTCCACTTTTCCAAGCATGACCTCTAGGGAATATAGTGGGAGACAGGGTACATTTTTTAAAAATTTCTTTGTATCCAGTTGTGATGGTCATCAAGTGCTAGGCGGGGTGGGGGGACATTAAGGAGCTTGGTCAGGGTGGTGCCAGAGCCTCGTGCTCTAAGAGATGCTAATCTAGTTCCAACAGAAAAGTGAACTGGGACAAACAGGTCAGAGGTTTCTGCAGGTGACAGCTCTGATGACTGGTGACAAGCCTGGAAGCCAGGGGATGTCAGGGGATGGAGGGACACAGGGGGATGAGGACGAGTTACAGTATGATCAGCGTGGCATTTAGGGAGAAGTGGGAAGCGAGCTCTGGTGGCCTGGTGGCAAGAAGCTGCACTGCAATCCCGAAGGCGTGTGGTTCAAAAACAGCTGAGGGAGAGAACTATGATTAGATATTATTGTTATGACAGGAGTTCAGAATGAAGGTTGCATAGTGGATTGGACTTGGGGGAGGGATTGTATAACAATGAAAGAATTTTTTCATTTACTTTTCAAAGACAAAAGCTAATTGGGAGGGTGGGGTGGGCAGGGAGAAAAGTGCAACAATGAATGAATGGAAATCCAAAGTGTCTGTAAACTTTCATTAAAATCAATTAATAATAAAAAAGAAAAATAATAAAATTAAATTTAAAAATAATATATCATCCTAGGGATAAGTGGGTACTGGTTGAGAAGGAAATTGAGGGTTCTGTTGGAGAAGTACAAACTGACCATTTGGAGTTGGTGCTGTGTACCGTCGAGTCGGAAGTGACCGGTAGCTGACCCTCGAGCGGGCTTTCAGACACAGTAAATCACATGGGAGGAGATTGCCCATCCTTCTCCCACAGAGCAGCTGGTAGATTCGAACCACATGCCTTTGGGATTGTAGCACAGTTTCTTACCACAAACTGACCAGAGCATTTTTAATATAAATATTAGATTACTGTTTGTTAATATTAGATAAATAGTAGATTCGCCCATGGAGCCTCAGTCAGTTCCTGCCACAAAGCGGGCTCTGCAGATGCCCATGGCCGGGTCCAGGACGGAGTCTGGTACCAGGACTGCTAAATGGTCCCACCCTGGTCTGCTAGTCTTTGACTGATACCCAGTCTGCTTCTTTTTCTAGGAAACTAAACCTCTACATGTATGTTTAGAAATAAATGGAGACCATAGATCATTTAGACATCTTGTTCTCTTAGACTCTGTTGAAGTCAAAGATCCAGTTTCATGAAAACTGCAGTCCTTCTGATGTTTCAGGTCACCAACATGGCTGGGTGAGGATATCTTGATAGGACAGGGTTCAGATCCGTTGTTGATGAGATCACTATGAGCTGTACTCTATTTGATGCCTACCAACAACATGACTGGGCCGGTGAATCCGTCATTCTCTGCCTAGTCATTTGTATCAGACCTTTGTCTTTGGGAAAAGGACAGGCAATACCTTTGGATTCTCTTTTGCTCCGTATTTACTACACATGTGTAATAGGAATTGGCAGCCAGGGAGCCATGAGTGCATGCCTTCTAAATATCTGTGAGAGATACCTCCATAGTGAACTGTCTGACCCTCCTCTGGAAAAATCCAGAGGGTTTTGCATCAGCAGGGAAGGAAAATCCAACTCAAGATGCATAAACAATAAATACAACTGTTTTGAGTTAGGTTGAAAGCTCTGAGTTGCAGGTTTTTTACTTGTTTGTGCTAACCACTTTTTTTTTCTTTCTCTCTTTCCCACCAGGGCTTATTTCAAAACTTTTGTCCCTCAGTTCCAGGAGGCAGCATTTGCCAATGGAAAGCTCTAGGAAACAGCAGCCTTGAGGTGTGGGCAGGCAGCCGGCTCCACACACGCCCCTCAGCACACACAGCTGCTTCCTGGAAGGTCTTCTTGGGGTGCCTTGCTCACACAGCGGTGTGGTCCACACACGGCCCCCCACTCCAGCTGACTCGGACCCAAGAGCCCCTTGCCCATGGTTACTCCCTCTTTCTTTCCTTCATTATATTTTTTAGTTGGCCAAAATAAAATTTCCTATCATGATGGAGTATTTTTCCAGGGAAAATAAGACGTCATAAGAGCACACACCCTTATTCCAAAGCCTTTGTCTCTGAGATTTTATTTAAGGTTTAAGATTAAACACCCCATTTGCTTATTTTTTTTCTGAAATGAGAAGTGTGTGTGTGTGTGTGTGTGTGTGTGTGTGTGGCATTTCCCACTCAGAGAACCACTCCATTGGGAAAAGAAGCTTCCCAAATGAATCTACCCAACCTGTAGTGCTCCAGACACCCAGGCAAGCTCAAGGCTGGTCTCAGCAGTAACCAGCGTGCACCCCTCCCCTCCTGCCCCCAGCCCTGGGCTCCTAGCACACAGCCAACTCACACTAGGAGGGAGCGTCTGATAACAGGGTTCAGGCCTGGCAGTACCTCCACCTGGAACAGAGCTGAGGCAAAAGCCCAAAGAGGCTCCATTCCTCCTAGATTTCTGCAATCTCAGAAGCGGACGGAGCCTCAGGCATTGTCTCAGTTCCAACTCTGCCCGCACACCCTGCTATTCCCTGCTGTGTACAGAGAAGAGAAAGAAGTAAGACCCTGCAGAAATTATCCAGCAAATCTGGGACGTGAGACCTAGGTCTCTTCACAGCACAAAACTTTCCTGAGTAAAGGCTTAGTTCAGTTTACTGTTGCTTTACCTCAGATGTTTCAGCACAGGGCAGTAGGACTACCCACAGAGGTCTGAGACGCCAACGGATGTGAATGCACTCTTACATCCACGTGGCTTCCCACACGGCAGTGAAGCCACAGGACCTGCCTGCAGGGCAGGTACAGGGGGGAGCTGGACCCCTCACCCTTGTGCCTCTGGGCCCCAGTTCTGCCACACGTTATGGCTTGAACTGTGTGTCCTGTAAATCTGTGTTTTAAATCCAGACCCCTCTATGTACAGATGAGCTCTGGTGGGCAAGTACATTAGGAGTTGCGCTGCCAAACCAAAAGCAGGCTGGCTACTCCTCAGGGGGAAGTGGACATCTCTTCTCATGAGATTTACAGCCTCTGAACACCCTCTGGGGGAGTCAGCTCTCAGCCAGTTCTGACAACACAGCAGTGAGTGAGTGTGTGATACCTGCAGACACAATCCCACTTGATCTTGTTAACAATGCCATAGCAGTGTTGTTGTTGTTGTTGTTAGGTGCCATCAAGTGGAGTACGACTCACGGTGACCCTGTAAACAGCCAGGCTGAATCCTGCCCTATCCTGTGTCAGCCTCGTCGTCTCCGACACATGCAAACCCATTGCTGAAGCCACAGTGTCAATCCATCTCGCTGGAAGTCTTCATCACTTTCGCCAACCCTCCGTCCTTCCAAGTATGATATCCCTTCCCAAGGAATAGCCTCATCTAGCTATCTGTCCAAAGTACAAAAGATGGAAATTTCCCCATCCTTGCCTTCAAGGAGCACTCCGGCAGTACCTTTTCCAAGACACATCTGTTTGTTCTTTTGGCCTTCCATGGGATATCCAGTACTCTTCTCCAGCACCACAACTCAAAGGCATCAATTCTTCTGTCGTCCTTAGTCATCGTCCAGCCTTCAGATGCACAACAAGTTATTGAGAAAACCATGGCCTGACTCAAGTGCGCCATAGTCTCCAAACTGACACCATCCTTCTCAGCAGTTTGGAGTCGTCCCTGACACCAGATTTGCCCAATGCAATGAGACCCGATTGTCTGACTGTTGGTACCAAGATGTCGATTGTTGATCCAAGGAAGATGAAATCATTGGCCAGTCCTTTCTGCATCTATAATGATGTTGACTGTTGGCCCTTATGGTAAGGATCTTTGTTTTCTTGGTGATGAGTTGTAATCCGTACTGAAGGCTGTAGTCCTTGATCTGCAGCAGCAAACGTATCAGGTCCTCCTTACTTTCAGCGAAGTTCTGTCATCTGCATAACGCAAGTTGTTGGTGGTCTTTCTCCAATTCTGATGCCGCATTCTTCATAGAGAAGAAGAATCCAATTCTTCTTCACAGAGACCAGCTTCACAAATAATTTTCTCAGCATATACAGATTGAATCTGTACGGAGAAAGGATACAACCCTGACGTACACCCGTCCTGATTGTAAGCCATACAGTGTTCCCTTGATCTCTTTGCACAACAGCTTCTTAGTCTAGGTATAGATTTCAAATTGGCACGATTCAGTGTTCTGGGATTCCCATGCGTCTCAATGTTAGACATAATTTGTTATGATCCACACAGTCAAATGCCTTTTCATAGTCAATAAAGCGTAAACAGACATTCTTCTGGCATTCTTTGCTTTCAGTCAGGATCCATACTATTTCAGCCATAATATCCTAACTGGCGTGGCTTCTTCTAAAGCCAGCTTGAACTTCTGGTAGGTCCCTGTTAAATGTAGTGTTCTAGTCAGTTTTGAATTATTTTCAACAGTATTTTGCTTGCATGAGGTATTAATGTTTATTAATCATTATGTTTGTGATATGACAAGATCAGATTAGGCACAGAAGCCAGCAAGCAAATGGAGGGGAGGAGATGGAGGTCAGTGCCAGGTGGGGACCTCCACGGGAGAGGGGGGCTGAGAACGCTAGAGGAGCAGAGGGGATAATCTTCCCCACAGGCTAAGACAAAGCCTCCAAGAACCAGCTCCCTGAACTCGGACTTCTAACCTCATCAACTCAGGGACGTCTGGTGACCAAGTGGCAAGGAACTGTGCAGCCAACCAAAAGGCAGGCAGTTTGAATCCACCTTCTGCTCCAAGGGAGAAAGATGGGAAATCTCCTGTGCAATTTACAGACCCTGAAAGCCCTCTGGAGGGTCCAGTGTGAGTCTATTCTGACTCGATGGCACATAACAAGACTTGATGGCCTATAACAACAATAACCTTAGTAACTAGGTGGGGGGGGGGATTCCCATTTGTTAAGGTTGTCCACCTGCTATAGCAGCATAAGAAACAGAAACTGTGTGAACCAGGAAGGAACCAGTTCTGGGCCAGTAAGGGTTCTGTCTCCCTCCTGTGTTCTCCGGCCACAGGAACATTCCAGGAGGCCTGACAACGCCTTGGACAGACCTCCCACCCAGCACGGCTGCCAGCTGGAGGGCCTCCCATATCCAAGTCCTTTCACCTGTGGGCTCTTTGTCACTTGTCCTGACACCTGGGGAATCCCAGTACAGAAACCTATCCTGCATATGCAGCCTAGCTCTGCCACTCAAGGGACCTTGAGTGAGTCTATGACTGCAAAACGGGAAGGGGACCTTGTTGCTGTAATTGGAACCCACTCACAGCGGACCCTCCAGCAAGTTTGCAGAGGCGATAAATTAATCGCATGGGAGGAGACTGCCCATTGACAAAAGGTGACTGGGTGTGATTAGTGGATCCAGCTCATCAGAATGGCCCCACTGCTGACCCAGCACCTCACTCGCCGAGGTGGAGATCTGGATTTTTCTAAAATGCACCAGTTGACCTGTTGGGCAAGAGGCCAGGATCCCCTAGGCCCACTGACCACTCTGGAGTTCTGCCTATATCACCAGCCAATAAGGGCTCAACCCCGGCCCTTAGCTCCAGATCCAGTACCATTTCTCATGTGTTCACAGCTCGATAAACAGATTATTTGGGTCCCCTCCCCACCACCTCATGAAGGGCCTTGTATTTTGCATAAGTTTATCAAGATGGGGATTATATGGGCTGGTTGGTTCATTTTTTAAGATTTTCAGGTCCCAGACCATGGTCTTGGGGAGAAGCTGTGATGTGGTCTGATTCTCTCAAAGGGAAATAGACAGAAAGTGATAATAACCACTTCATATTTCAGATGCCAGGCATGCAAACACTAGTGTCCCTGTGATTTTATCTCTGCCTCCGACAGCTACAGACGCCACCAGAAGCAAGTGTCGCTTATAAATGGGTGAAGGTCACCTGTGTATTTTTAAACACTTCTTGCGACTTCAGCCAGTCATCAGGCATTGTCCCCACACACAGAGTGCAGTAGAGGACTAATTAGCAAGTGGCTGTAAAATGCTTTGAAGATGAAAGGAGCCATATAGGAGAGGACATTATTATTACCTCATAAATCCCGTCTCCAGCTTACTCAGCCCTGGTCATTTAAGCTGAATCTCTAGCTCAGCACAGACTAGGAAGACGGCTCTCAAGCGTTCACTAATAATACTTGGACGCATCAGAGCTCCCCTGTGGGGCCGGGAGGAGGCACAGAAGAACTTGGCCAGCAAGTGCTGCCTCCCTCCAACAACTGGGCTTCCACAGCCACACAGGGCTCTAGAGAGAACCCACTTCCTTCTGGGAACATGAGCTGGAAAGGGAATGAGCTTGAGGATGAGTTGTTGTTGTAGTTGTTTTCAGGTGCCATCAAGTCAAGTATGACTCATGATTACTTTACGAACAGACCTGAGCCCTGTCCTGTCCTGTGCTGTCCTCACCATCCCTGACACACTCGGGCCCATTGCTGCAGTCACTGTGTCAGTTCATTTGAGAGTTTTTCTCTACTTCTCTGACCTTCCACCTTTCCCAGCATGAGGTCCCTCTCCAAGGAATAGCCTCTCCTAACCACGGGTCCAAACCATGAGAGAAGCAGCTTCGCCATCTTTGCCTCCAGGGAGCACTCTGGTTGCCCTTTTTCCAAGGCTTATCTCTTGGCAGTCCATGGGAGATTCGGTATTCTCCTCCACCACAGCGAAGGTGCGCCTGATCCAGGCCATGGTCTTTTCATTCACGTGCTGTGCGTCTGAGAGCTGGACAATGAAACAGCATGACACAGGAAGAACGGATGCCTTTGAGCTGTGGTGAGGATGAGAGAGACGTGTGCATTTCAGTCCTAGCTTTGCTCACTTAGTGATGGGTTCACATTTAGCAACCAATTCTCCAGCAGTTAATAAAATTAAAAGCCCCAAGAGAAATCCCTGATTTGTTGTTTGCCAGTTCCCATGGTATAAACATTCCCACTATATCCAACTTATGACTGCTAACACAAAGTCCCTGAGTCATGCAAATAGTTAATGCACTTGAATACTGACCGAAAAGTTTTAGTCTCTCCATGAGCGCCTCACAAGAAAAGCTTGGTGGTGATGTCTGCTTCTAAAACCCAGCCACTAAAGAGACAGTTCTGTCCTCACACCCAGGGCCTCTGAGATGGAACGGACAGCAACTTGTTTCCCAGTGACGGGGGACAGTGAGTACAGAGCCGGGGAGAGCAGGCAGGTGTGCTGCAGTGCAAGCCTCTGCTTTGTGAAGCAGCCTCAGTATGTAACTCAAGAAAGTTGCTTCATTTCTCCTGTTTTCATTTTCTGCATCAGTACAATAAGACCTGCCTGCCAGCATCGTGAAGAAGAAAAGTGTACAAAGCAGAAAGTTCAGTGCTTGGCTCACAGTTACTTTTGGGAAATGGCTGTTATCTTAGGAGGCAGAGGTTGGCATTCACCGAACCATTTTCTCAAGGGAGAAAGATGAGGGCTTTGCCCCTGTAAACACTCAAAGTCTCAGAAGCCAAAGAAGGGTTGCTAAGAGAACAACCCTGATGGCAGTCAACGAGTGAGTGACGAAGTGAGCCACTACTACTGCAGACCAGAAAAAGGACTTTTGGCCGTTGACATTGACATTGACATTTTTTCTAGAACATCGGAATGCCCCTGTTAGAAAAGGTAATAAATGTGACCTTTGGGAGAGTGACCTTGCCTGGATCACCAGGAATACAAAATTATGAATCATCTTGATTTTAACAAATTATTAAAGTCATGTCTATTTTCATAAAAGATCAGATACATCTGTGGGAGTCCCACCACACACACACCCACTGGGGCTTGTGTAAAGCAAGGTAAACTCTGTCCAGTCATCAAGCTCCAGGCAGCGCTCAGGACAGACAACCCAGTGGCCTGTTTCCCCGCCCTGGCCCGGCTTCCCACAGGCAAGGAAATCAGAGGCCAGGTTGATTTTTGCCTCTGACTGAAGGTTTTAGTTCCTGGCCCCTACAGACTCTTGTTTTGGAGTCATGGCCTTGTAAGAGAATCACCTTCATTTGGTTTGCCTCTCCCTGGGCCTAGAAATAGAACCAATCCTGGAAACGGCCCCAGAGGTGAGGACCAGCCCATCCCACTGTCGGTGTGAACGTTAAGAACATTGACTCCCAATAAAGTGAAGACTAACTGTATTACAAAACTCAAACTCACTGCTATCAAGTTGGAACCTCAGAACCGACTCCTAGCTGACCCTTCAGCAGGTTTTCAAAGGCTGGAAATCATACAGGTGAAGAGTGCCTGTCTTACTCCCTCAGAGCCCCAGGTAGATTGACACCCCAAGAGACGTCACATTTAGGTTAATAGTTAAACTCCTCTCATTGGTACCTTTCCAAATAAAAACAACAGAAGAAACATCACCTTTTGTTTATGCAGTAAGGGACCTTTCCAAATAATTGAGGAATCATGATACCGGTTTGAGGACTAAGGTGCATCTTGATTCGGGTCATGGTCTTTCTGATCACTTGCTGTGCATCTGAGAGCTGGACAAGTACTAAGGATGAATGAAAAAGAATTGACACCTTTGAGCTGTGCTGTTGGGAAAGAGAACCGAACATCCATCCCATGGACGGCCATCTCTTGGAGATGGTTCAGCCGAGTGCTCTTTGGAAGCAGAAATGATGAGGCTTCACCTCACATACTTTGGGCATGTTGCTAGGAGAGGCTATTTCTTGGAGAGGGACATGATGCTGGGAAGGGTGAAGGGTCAGTTAAGGAGAGGAAGACCCTCAACCAGGTGGTTGACATGGTGACTGCTGCAATGGTTTCTTGTGTATCAGAGAGTGTGAGGATGGCACAGGATAGAACGGGGTTCAGATCTTTAGTTCATAGGGTCGCTATGAGTTGTACTCGACTCATTGACACCTAACAACAACAAAATGTTTATGATGTTATGTGTAGGAGGCCTGATGGAACCATGAGTTATGTATTGGGCTGCTAATAAAAAATTCAGCAGTTTGAATCCACGAGCTCCTCCTCAGAAAATGAGGTGGTTTGCTCCTCTTGAGATTTACAGCTTCAGAAATCTGATCGAAGGTTGCCATGCGCTTGAATCAACTTGACGACAGTGACAGTGTCACGGTCAAGGTGATAATTGCACCTCCTGAGCTATGAATGATATTCCACTTTTAACTGTCATCCAGTCCACTGTGACCCACGGCGACCCTGTGAGCTTCAGGGCAGCACTTAGTTCCCCAAAGTTTTCAACTGTGACGTTTGGGAAGCAAATCACCCACATCTCTCTTTCCTTCTCTCTCTTCCTGTCTCCCCTCCCAGATGCCATCCCAGAGCTTTCATTTCTCCCCACTTCCATGAAAAGCTTCCCTAAGTAAAGACATAATTATCTAACACATCCTGGTACAAGACACTGTTTAAGACATCGATATATGTGGCTTTGCCATTTCCTCGGGCAGAGAGAGAGGAGAGTGTGGAGTGGTGGGAGCAGCCAAGGTCTCAGGGAAGTCGGAGTCAGGGCGCCAGAGCAGGCTCACGGCGGGGAGGGTGTGTGTATCTGCACCCCAAAAACACGCACCGAGGTAAACTCTGCGCTGACACATAGTGGCGGTGGTGGTGTTGTGTACCAGTGAGACTAAACCAACTTATAGCTGGGTTTTTAAGTGGCAATAAATCAATAAGTAATAAGAACAATAGTAACTAAGTAAATGAAGTTTTTCAGTGGTTTTAAGAGGCAATAAATCCCACAGGAAGGAGGAGCCTGCCTGTCTTTTTCCCCGCAGAGCCGCTGACGGCCTTGGGCCACATTCCTGTGAGTTGGCAGTGCAACTCTACCCCTAAGCCATCAGAGCCTGCTGGCCCATAGGCATCTCCATACGGGCTTGTATTTGTAAATATAGACAAATATCAGTTCATTTTCAGATGATTAAGTCAGATCAGTTCACAGTTGAAAGAAGAGCGTCGGGGGAGATAACTTCAAAGCTTATATTCTCAGCTTAAAGTCCAGAACACATTTGGTTAAAATAATGGTTCCACATCTGAAGAAAGCAACATGAAAGTAATTGTTTGTTACAATTCTTGAGAAACATTGCCAACACATTTTCAAGAAGCTAATAGAGCAGAGACCCATGAACTGATAACAAGGAAATAGCTCCAAAGCTCAAGTTGTACTACTCTTGAGTCTCTTTGGAGGAAGAACCACACTTTACAAGCCTGAGAGGTCAGGCTTAGGGTCCTGACAAATCACAGCTAATCATGGCAATAAAGGTATCCCCATAAGCAACCTGTGAATGACCATGATGACCCTCCCTGCTAGAGATCCAGTGAGTGCAGCTGCCCTTGCAACAATGTGTGATGAGCCAAAAGGCATGGCAAGGGCATGGCAGCCACGCATATCTACAAAACAGAGCCCACCACCCGTCCTTCAAAGGCCTCTGGAGAAAGGTCATTCCAAAGACTCTCTGTGAAACATGCCCTTTGAGTCGGCAAAGGAACCACTCGAGGGAAGCTGTCCCTTTTCTCCAAGATCACACTTCTGGTCCAAAATAGAATTCTCCACCTCCAGACGTCCTTGGGCTCTGTGCAGCTGCTGAAAGAGCGGAAGTCCTGCTAACTCACCAGCATTGTCTTCTTGGTGGTCGGGCCCTGCGGAATGCTGATAGGCCACTCGCCACATAGAGCTGGAGGAGCAGCCCAGGAATTCAGAAAGCATGTCAGAAAGGCACTGTGCACAGACCAAGACAATTTGTGCACTTGCTCAAAATGGTTTGTGAAGAGTTTTTCCCTGGGATTGACTCTGATGGACTTAGTCTGATGGCTTGGTGGTGAGGAGATGCACTCCCCACACAAAGGTCACCCGTGTCTCCAAGGGAAATATGGGCAACCTCCTCCCATGTGATTTACTGCCTCTGACAACCCACTGGCGGATCAGCTGTGAGGTGGTTCCAAGTCGACAGCACATAACAACAACACAGCACAGCTGAAGGACAGTGTCATTCTTGAGGATTAGCCATCTGGCTAGGTAGTGTACTCCCTCACCCAACACATGGCACCACACACACGTGTACATGCATAAACACACGCACACATGCATGTGTGCATACACACTCATGTACGCATGCATTTATATGCACACATAGGCACACGCACATGCATGCACCTGTCCACACTCTCACATGTGTGCACACTCACACATTCTCACAGATAGGTTTTAGATGGCCCTTTCAATCCTACCTTGTGCCCACTCCTGGGACTCAGACTCACACCTAGCTTAGCCTGCTGTGTAAACAGGTGGGAGGGGCACTCCCTGTGTAGACTCCGTGCCTGTGCACTCCACGTGGGCCAGTGGGCTTGCACACACAGGGCCGCCTCCACCTGTCTCTCCTTTCTACCTACATTAACCTACATTATCCTACACTAACCTACATTATTGTACCTACATTAATTTCTCCATTCTACCTACATTAACACACTCAGGCTGCTCTATGGGTGACTCCTCTGGCATGTCTGCTCTCCCCCAGGTACCTAGGACCACTGGACCCCCAACCTCACTCCAACACTGTCTGGGAGGCAGGGCTGGGGAGAGCTCTGTGAGACCCACATCACTGAAAACAGAGAGGGGCTGACAGGCTTGGTGGGGTTGACGCTTGTGCTCCACCAACAGCCTCCTGCCCAAGTCAAGTCCCAGTTCCAACACTTAGGGGCACATAAACATGAGCAAGTCACTTTGATCTCAGTTTTCTCCTCTGCAAAACAAGGCTCTTAAAAGTACTTACATAGAGTTGCCAGGAGGGATGGCTCAATAACAAATTAACAATATCTAATCAGGATAGAGCAGGGTTTAGGGCTGTTGTACATAGGGTCGCTATGAGTTGCAAACGACTCGATGGCACATAACAACAACAACTATTATTATTATTATTATTATTATTATTATTATTATTATTAGGTGCGATCAAGCCAGAAATGACTCAGAGTTGACCCTGCAGAAAGTCTTCAGAGGCTGTAAATTTCATGGGAGGAGACTGCCCATTTGTCTCTAATGGAGAGCTAGTGCGTCTGAACCACCTACTTTTGTGTTGACAGCATAATTTCTTACTGCTAGACCACCAGAACTTCCTTACCTAGTATTTTTAAAGTGCAAGCTTTGTTTATTTTTAGATTTTGCACAAGTTGTAGGTTGTTCCTTGCTCCGTTTTTTTCATGCTTTCCTTCCCCTGCCACATCCCTGCCTTCAAGTTTTGTTATGTTATCAGATACTATTGAGTTGGAACTGACTCTTAACTGACACTCCAGCAGGTTCTCAGAAGCAATGAATCAAAGGAGAGGAGACTGCCCATCTTTCTCTAGTGGTGTGCCTTTGGGTTGGCAATACAACTCCTTATCACTAGGCTGTCACCAGAACTCTCTTTTCATTAAGAACTTCTTTGTCCCTTCTTTAACTCGTCCCTTATATACTGGATTTTAAGGATTACCAGGAGCATTAAAGATTCCAGGCATATTTCCACTTGACTGACCAGGGAGACCTTCCTCCCTATAAAAATAAATAGGAAGATTAGTGTTTAGGCACATGAAAAACTCATCATGGAACCAATGACATCAGGAACAATAGGCTAGAGTAGGAAGCACTCACCAAATTTTGAACTCTTCATGCTATTATCCCCTTGATCCAGACTCAAACCCAGCAGCACATTGAAATGCAGAAATCAGTCAGATATATTAACTCATAACACACATGGCACAATGTCTTTCTTCGCTTTTTTACTTCCAGAGAATGATCCACTTCTCTCTGGGACGTACCTTTTCTAATAGAAATGTCTTTACTCTCACCTTCATTCCTGTCTCCTTGCCACATGCTCTAATAAGAGCTCAGTCCATGTCAGGATTATTTTGAGCAGGACAAACAACATAAAGAGGGCGGAACCAGGCCAAGACCAGATTTGTCTTTGGCCAGTCTTCCTGTTGTCTCCCCTCGGTTCAATTCTTTGCCTGGGGAAGAGTGACTAAAACAAAAGGATTGACTGCACAGTAGCATTTTGGTGCCGAAACCCAGGATCACTCATGAGCACCAGGAAACCCAAGATCAATCAAGGGGACTCCAAGATCACTCGAGAGGATGGATCCTTCACCACCATCAAAGCAGATGAAAATATCTAATCATAGTAAGAAGCTGCACTGCAATCCCAAAGGCACATGGTTCAAATCCACCAGCTGTTCTGTGGAAGAAGGATGGTCTCCTCTTTGTGATTTACTGCCTCTGAAAACCCACTGGAGGGTTAGCTGTGAGTTGGTTCCAGCTCCAGGCAATAAATCTCTTTTATTAGTAGTGAAACAGAAAAGGAACATGATCCAGTAAAGATTGACTAAAATTGGGGATGGAGCAAAAGTTCAAGCATGAAATAAATGATAAGGCTAAAGGAAAATGGGCATGAACTATAATTTCCACCAGCCTGGAACCAGAAGAACTGGATGGTGCCCAGCTACTACTTCTAACTACTGTGATTTGGATCACAACAGAGAGTCATGGATAAAGTGGGAGAAAAATGTACAACAACATTTTTAATTATTATTTGAAAGGACCAGCTTTATAGGTCTGATGGAAATTGATGTAATTTCCAAAACTATGACCCTTAGAAACCTTTCAAACCTGAGACTGGAACAACATACAAGCCTAAAAGGGGGGGGGGAGGAGCCACCCCTGAGGAATGTACTGCTCAGCACAATTAACTGTGCAAGACCAAAAAAGCAGTGTCTACCCTCAAACAAAATTCAGAAGGTGGGAAGGGGCAGGAAAGATCAGAAAATGGGATCAGGGAACACAGGGAGGAAGTGTGAAGTGTGTTGTTACATGAAAAGGACTGTAGCTTACTTTGTTACAAGACAAAATGGAGATTAATTATTGAATTATTTCTTTTTCTCTGTAAACTTTAACTCAAACTACAGGAAAAACAGTAAGGACAATCAAAATAAGAAACTTGAGAAGTCACAGTAGTAAAGAGAAGAATGTTGACAAATATAAGGTAAAAAATGGAAGTTGTTTAATATTAGTTGGAAAAACAAGGAAGCCAGAAAGACTTCGAGGGAAAGGACTCATGTTAGCAGAGTGTGGAGAACAAATGAGGGAAGGGAATCTTACAAGACAGTGATGGTGCCATCGTACACGTTGGGCTCTGGCACAGACACTCTGTGGAGCTTTTTCTCTAGGCAAAGGCCAGTACAGGACATTTCATCCTGGCAAACACAGAGCTCACATGTATCAGTATCACTTCTGTTGGTGGCACTCTGTGTTGGTGGCACAGGAAGAATCATGTGTCCCCTCTGTGAGCTGCAATTTTTAAATAGTTAAGTCACGAGGGAAGAAAGAACTGCCTCAGTTGATAATGGATGCTAAGTCATGGTCACCTTTGGATTCACAAGGTGAACTGTAACTTGCTTTGGTGGAGATGTCATTTTCTGCAGGTTTGTAGAAGGCTTAGTCTCCTTAAAGGATCCTCGAGCTATGGTAAGCTCTAGATCCAAAGACTGAACTGTATTGTGCTTTGGAGGAGGCATGGTTTTCTGCAGGGCAGTGGAACATTCAGTATTTGAAGTGAATTGAGGAGCTGTAGTAAGCTCCAGGTCTGTAGGTCTTAACTGTGACATGAGGTAAGTTTGAATTCTGAGCTTAGTCCTGATCTGTCTCAATATATACTGGAGATTGAATTACAACCTCCTCAGGTGGTTCTAGAGACTGAGTTGGTGGATCTTTCTGTGATAGGGAAGATCCATCTTCTATTTTGGGTTCTGGAGATAGGGTAAGCTCCAAGTTAGGAGACTGAATGGTGACACTGGGCACCTTTGAATGCTGACATTTATCTAGACTTGGAGGTAGAACTGAGGCTGGCTGTTGGGATGTCAAAGATTCTGCCACATTGGAAAGCTTCTTAAAGGCTTGTTGGAAATTGAGCTAAGCATCCCAAGGAGACTCTGGAGTCTGAGTTAGAGTCTTAGTTGGAGTCTTTTGGATTATTGTAGTATGTTCAACCTCTGTATTTGGGTCTGGATATATGGTAAGCTCTTGAGTCCAAAGGGTTAACAATGACTTGCTTCGTAGGAGGAGGTGTGCTCTTCTGCAGGGCTGTAGAATTTACAACCTCAGTAGTGGGTTCTGAAGTAAGCTCCAGATTGTCAAGTTTAACTGTAACATTGGGGCAAGTTTTAATGCTGAACTTGAGCCTGATCTGATGGGGGAGTTGTCATCTCATGGCTCACTAGAGGATTAGCCCCAATTTCTTGATGCTCTGGAGGCTGAGCTGGTGTCTCCTGTTTTGTTGGAGAAGGTTCAACCTCCATATTGAGTTCTGGTGTTATAGTAGTATCCAGTTTACTGCTGGGCTGTGGACTATTCAACCTGTGTAGTAGGTCCTGGTGTTACAGTAAGCTCTGGGTGCCAAGTCTGGGCTGTAACACCACTCCAGTTTGGTTGTTTTGAATGGTCTTCTCAGGAACATTAGAAGAAGGCACTGTAGTCTGTTGTGGAATGTTCAACCTCAAGAAAATGTGGGAAAGGTGTAGACTTTTGTGGGGCTGTAGAAGGAATCATGACAAGAGCTCGGTGCAAAGGTTGAGCTGTGACACTAGGCACATTTAAATGCCGACCCTGATATTGATCTGTTGGTGAAACTGTTACCCCTTGAAAATGGAAGGCTGAGCTACCTCCTCCTTAGGTGGCTTCAAAAATTGAACTGGGGTGGCCTGTGGGTTTGTCAAAGATTCCACCACGTTAGGAAGCTCTGAAGGCTGTGCTAGGGCTCCCGACTGGACTGAAGGTTCTCCCTTATTAGGGGACTCGCTCAATTGATGAGGAGTTCTCTGCTGGACTGGTAAAGGTTCACTCTCCTTAGAAGGCTTGGGAGTCCAAGGTGGGAGTTGCTGAAGTGATGGAAAAGACTCCACTTCTTTAGGGGGTTCTAAAGATGGCACACAGGCTGTTGGTCTGGAGATGGTTGCACAATCTCAAAGGGAGGGCTCCAGAGGCCTTAGCCCTGATCTGGTGAAGGCTCTAACTCCTTAGGAGACCCTAAAGATACAACTAGGACCTATGGTTGCACTGAAGATGGTTCAGCATTCAAGGGGTTCCTGAGAGGGAACAAGACCCTCCTGCTAGACTGAGGAGGCTTGAACTTCCTCTGGACACCAGGATGGGGCTTCTTGGAGAGTTAGGGGAAGTTCAACCTGCCTGGGGAGCTCAGGAGACTGAGCTGGGAGCCCCTGCTGAGCTGGAGAAGATCCACCCTCCTTAGGGGGCTCTGGCGTATAAGCTGGAGACTGTTTGGGATGGATAAGGCTTAATCTCTGAAGGGGGTTTTGAAAGCTTAGATGGGACTTGTTACTGAGTTAGAGAAGGCTTTTCCAGCACAAGGAGCTCTCAAGACTGTATTTGGCTCCCCTGCTGAACTGGAGATGTTTCAATCTCTTGTGGACACTGTGAAGTTTGAAATGAGTTCTTTGGTTTGTTGGAGAAGATTTGACCTTTATAGGTGACTCGAGACTGGAGTGGCCCTCCTTGTTGTGTTGGTTAAGATTCACCCTCCTTGGGGGGCCTTGAGGTGGTAAGGAGGCCTCTAGCTGGGTTGGAGAAGATCCAACCTCTGTAATGGGTTGTGAAGTTAAAGTAAACCCTAGATCCAGATGGCCAACTGTGGCAGTGGGAAGAGCTGAATGCGGAGCTTCACTTGAATCTGTAGGTGAAACTGTCACCTCATCTTGTCCTGGATGTTGAGCTAAAACCTCTTCAGGTGGCTCTGAAGGCTCAGCTGGCATCTCCTGAATATTTGAAGATGATTCATTCTCCTCAGGTTGTTCTGGAGGCTGGGCTGAGGCTTCTTTCTGGCCTGAAGGAACTGACACCACGTCCGTGGCATCTGTAGGTTCTGTTGGATTATCCTGCTGGATTGGAGAATCCCTTCTGTAGGAAACTCTGCAGGTTGAACTGGGGCCTCCTGCAGAGTTGGAGATGAGTCAACATCCTCAGTAGTTTCCAGAGGTTGTAATGATTTCTCCAGCTGGAATGGAGAACGTTCAATCTCTGTGGGATACTTTAGAGACTGAGCCAGGGCCTCCTGCAAGATTAGAGATGGCCCACCTTCCACCACGAACTCTGCAGGCTATGATGTATTGAGTTGTGGCATCCCGCTGGGCTGGAGCAGGTTGAACCCCTGTAGTTGATACTAAGGTTTTGATAATAATCAAATGTGGACGTTTCAATGTGATACCAGGGAACACTGGATGCAGGGTTTTTTACCTTGACTTGGAGATGAAATCATGATTTCATGATATTGTGCTGCTGATAGTTACCGCCTCTGTAAAGGGATTTATAGGTTGATCCAGAGAGTCTTGCAGAACTGAAGAAACATCCTCAGAGAGCTCTGAAGGTAAGATCGTTCCTCCAGCCGTGTTGGGTGTTCATACTCCTTGGTGGAGTCTGGCAGTTGTGCCGAATGTTCAGTATTGTCACTGAGACTTGGAGGCTGAGCGGGATTCTCATTCCAGGGGGAACATTTTGCATCCTCCTTCTTGTCCTCTGTGAGTTGTAGTGGGAATTTCTGTCCGACTACAGAAGGTTGAGTTCTCTCAGGAAGATCTAGAGGTTGAAGTGGATCATCCCGCTGGAAGGAAGATGATGTGACCACCAAACACTGTAGGGGGATCTGGAGTCTGGGCTGCTTTGTTCCTCAGCTGGAATAAATTTATTCTCCGTAAGGGATTCTGGAGGCTGCACTAGGGAAACCTGTGGTGTGAGAGTCTGACCAACCACAGGATCAATTTGATATTTTTGGCAAGATGTAATGAGCCTCAGGATGACCCAGAGGTTGAATTTTCACTCTATCATGCAATGAATGTAAAGTTAAACTGGAATGTGGGAACTCTGGGTGACAAACTGGGACCTCTAAATTAAATGTTCCGTCTCCTCAGTGAGCTCTGGAAGCTTAGAGGAGTCCTCCTGCTGGGGTGGGGTTTCCATCTTCTCAGAAGTCTCTCGAGGCTGTGCTGGGTTGGAAAACTCTGAACCTCAGTCATGGGTTCTAAAGTTACAATAAGCTGCACACCATCAGCAGGTTTAACTGTAACACTGGGCAAATCTGAAGGATGAGATTGATTCTGTGGCAGTTTGCATTATAACCACTGTAGGAGGAGGCACTGGAGGTTGAAGTGGGGCTTCCTGCCGGTCTGGAGAAGACTCCAGCTCCCCAGAGAGCTTTACAGGCTGTTGCGTGCCTTCCAGCTGTTCTGGGGAAGGTCCAATTTCTTCAATGGACCCTGTAGTCTGAACAGGTACCTCCTAATGGAATGGCGAAGGTTTAACCTCCTGGAGAAGGGTTGGAGGCTGTGTTGGCACTTCTGGTAGCACTGGAGGAGGTTCTGTTCGTTCAGGCTCTGCAGATCATTGGAGGTTTCATTTGTTCAGGTAGTCTTAGAGGCTCAGGTGGACATGGCTGCTGGCTTGTAGAAGGTGATGGAGGATGAGCTGGAACTTCCAGCTGGATTGGAGAAGGCTCACCCTTCCCAGGAAAGCCTGGGAAGAGGAGCTCTTGCCCAGCTGGTGAAGGTTTAGCCTCTTGGGGAGACTTGCGAGGCATTGCTGGAGATTCTGTTCCCCACAGGGAACTCTTGGGGGGAACCTGGAACCTCTTGCTGGACTGGAGAGGTGCCAGCCTCCCCACGGTGCTCTGGGGCAGATGTTGCACATCCTTGCTGGCTTGAGGTAGGTTCTACTTTCTTGGAATGTCCTGAGAGAAGACCTTGCTGGAGTGTAGGTTCAACTTCCTCAGAGGCCTTTGCAGGTTGAGCTGGGGCTTTATGTTGTATGGGAGGGGCTTCAACCTCCACAGGGGGCTCAGACGGTGAAACTGGGGGCACCTACAAGAATGTTGAGGGCACAACATCCTCAGGGTACAAAAGATGAGCTGGGAACTCTTGAGCTGCAGGCACAAGTGTCCCAAGGTACTCCGGAGTTGTTGGGCCTCTGCCTGTACTAAAGGCTGACCTGGGAGCTCCCGTTGGCTTGGAAGCTTTCGAGGCTGTGTTGTAGCTTCTGGCTGGAATGAATTGTGAACTCCTTCCTAGGGGCCTGGGATCTGTGCCAGAACTCCTCGCTGGCCTGAAGATGTAGGCTCCTCTGGGCATGCTGGAGGTGGCCCTGGGGCCTCCTGCTGGGTAGAAGGCTTGAGTTCTTCTGAAGGTCTCTTGCTGAACCACAGAAGGTTCACCTTCCTCAGAAGGCTCTGGACGGTGAGCAGGGGTCTCCTGGTGGATTGGATTGGAGGTTTAACCTCCTGGGAGGCTTGGGAGGCTGGGCAAAGGCTTCCTGCTCAGTGGGACCCCACTGAACTCCTGAAGGGGCTCCCGAGTTAAGGTAAACTCCACACCTGCCTGGTTAACTGTGACACTGGACTGTGCTGAATGATAAGTTGGGGGTTGTAGATGGATAGAGAAATTGCGCCTGGGTTGGGCAGAGTTCACCCTCCTGAGATGCCTCTGGAGAGTAAGGTGAGGCCTCTTGTTGGATGCAATTGGTTCCATCTCCTTAGGGGGTTCTGGAGGTAGACCTGATGGATTGGTTGGCAAGGGTGATCCCCCCACCCCCACCCCCGGAGATTCAGTATTTTCCTCAGGATGCTCTGGAAGTTCATCCGTTCCCTGTAGGAGTTCCAAAGGAGGGGCACCATATCAAATATGGGGTCCAGAAGATCATAATCTTTGGGTTGGATTGGTCGTTTCAATAGTTTTCCAAACGTACCAGAAGGCCCGACCACTGCCTTAACAAGCCATTGCCGCTGTGCTAAATACTTGTTTCCCTTCCGCATGGAACAACATAGCCAGCCGGTGTGGAGCTACGAGTAGGAGAGGTGGGTGAAAGTCCCCATGACCGGCGGCCTTCAGCCCGATTCATCTCAGGAATTTCCACCCCTTACTTTTCAGTGGAGCAGGCAGATGGTCATTGAGTTCCCGATGAGGCCTTGTGGGGCGGCCCTGGCACCGAATCAGGGACCTGAGACCCGGTCAACATCCGAGTGATGCCAGGGACCCCTTTGTCTCCAAAATTCCCTGGCTCAGGCAGGGGCACCAGCCTTAGGGGCGATTGAGCTGGTGGTTGATCAGGGGCTGGTGAAGTCCAGGGCTCGTTCAGTTCTGGGAGGTTTCAGGGGTCAGGGAGCTGAGGCCCAGCGCGGAATGTGCAGGCCACGCTGCCTGGATCAGCAGCAACAGTGGCTGCAACCTGAAGAGGTGCTAGGGACTCAGAGGCACAGCGGGGGGCCCCCACTGGAACCTCTGTTCCGGGTTCCAGTGACCCACGTGGGCAGCCCTGAGTCACGTGCTCTGCAACGGTGGCCCCTCCCACCGCAGGCCCCGCCCTCTTTAGGACTCTTTGTCTGGGTTTATTGCTTTGATTTTTTTTTTTTTAAGGTCCTTCATAGACCAGTCACATACCACTCTGTTGAGTTTCCAGTCACATACCACTCTGTTGAATTCGTTTCCTAGAATCACCATGAACGTGACAGGACTTCACGTCTCCTGCCCACCCCAAGGCCGGATCAGGGCCCATTTCCTCCCTGCAGCCCTCAGAGCTTCGCTAGCTGTCAGCAGAGGCAGGGCCGCTGGTCTGTTTCCAGCAGCCAGAAGCTTCCTCCTCCAAACTAAAGTCCATATGTTCTCCTACCCGATGGCAGTGCTGATTCCAAGAAAATGAGCGTGTTTAGTGCGGGCCTACTGGGCCATAAAGACACGTGTGAAGCTCTTTCACTCCAAAAGCTCTTTCTTCCAAACGGCATATCCTCCTTTTTCCATATTAGATTATCAGCTCAGTCCTCTATTGTTGTTGTTGTTGTTATGTGCCATTGAGTCGCTTGCGACTCATAGCAACCCTATGTACAACAGCCCTAAACTCCGCTCTGTTCTGTGCCAATCGCACTGTCTCTGACACTCTCATCCCAATTATCCCAGTCACTGAATCAATCCACCTCATAGAGGGCCTTCCTCTCCTGCGCTGTCCCTCCACCCTCCCAAGCATGATGTCCCTCTCCAAGGACTGGTCTCTCCTCACAACATGTCCAAAGTATGTTAGACGGAGCCTCAGAATCCTTGCCTTTTTGCTCCTTGTTAAAAAGTGATCCAACAGAATGTGGAAATTACCGAACAATATTAATATCACAAGCAAGCAAAGTATTGCTGAAGATCATCTAAAAACGGCTGGAAAGGAACTGCCAAAAGTTCAAGCTGTGTTTAGATGAGGCCTCAGCACCAGGGAGGTTGTTGTTGTTGTTAAGTGTCATTGAGTTGAGTATGACTCATAGCGACCCTATGCACAAAAGATCTGAAACCAGTCCTGTCCTGTGTCATCCTCACTCTTCCTGACACACAAGATGCAACCCTCACCCTGTCAATCCACTTAGTGGAGGGCCTTCCTCTCCTTTGCCAACCCTCCACCCTTCCCCTTCCCAACATCATGTCCTTCTCCAAGGAATAGCACCTCCTAGCAATATGTCCAAAGGAAGTCTCAACATTCTTGCCTCCAAAGAGCACTCTGGCTGCACCCTCTCCAAGACATATCTATTCATTTTCTTGGCTGTACATGGAATGTTCAGTGCTCTTCTCCAACACCACAGCTCAAAGGCATCAACTCTTTTTCTATCATCCTTATTCATAGTCCAGATTTTAGATGCATAGCAAGTAATCAGAAAAAGACCATGGCCAGAATCAGATGAAAGAAAAAACGGAAATGGATGTCATAAAAGACTCTAAAGATTGCACTGGGATGTCAGAAAGCCAAATCTAAAGGAAAACATGACAAAGTAAAAGAGCTGAACAGATGGTTTCAAAGGGCAGCTCATGAGGACACAGCACAGAGAGCTGGAATTGGAGGATAAAAAAGGAAAAACTTGCTCTGCAATTCTCAAGCCGAAAGAACTGAAAAACAAGTTTAGGCCTCATGTCACAATGTTGAAAGAGGCTATGAATGACCCAGAAAACATCAAAAGAAAATGTACTGCCTGGTATGTCTGTGTAAGAAGCCAATTTTTGTGTATTGTTACAGTTTCAGGTTATTTACATTTGATGTTTTGTAAAACTCAAATACTGCTATTCTGTACTTGGACCAAATAAATGTCATCTGCTTACTTGTTTTATTTGCCTGCACAGTTCACATTTCCACTGCCTTACCAGGTATACATACGAGTACTACAGGCATGCTCAATTCTTCCCATTTAAAAAAAAAAAAAAGCAGCGCTTAATGGGTTCAAAGGCTTAAAAACCTCTGCTGTTTGCCATAGATGAGTACTTTCTAAAATAAAGCTTTTTCTGGCAATGTTGCTTTTTAAAATTTAAAAAAAAAGAAAAGAAAATGGAAGGAATGCACAGTTACTGTACCAGAAAGAATTGACACTGAAAAATTTCAGGAAGTACCATATGAACAGGAGCCAGTGGTAATGAAGGAGGAAGTAGAAGCTGCATTGAAGTTATTGGCAAAAAATAAGGCCCCAGGAATTGATATGATATCAACTGACTTGTTTTAAGTAAGAGATGTGGCCTTGGATGCACTCACCAGTCTATGCCATGACATTTAGAGGACAGCTGACTGGCCAAGAGATTGGAAGAGGTCTGTATTTCTTCCTATTTTCAAGAAGGGTGATCCAACTGAATGTGGAAATTATCAAACAATGTCATTGATCTCATATGCTAGCAACATACTGCTGAAGATAATTTAAAAATGGCTGGAACAGTACATAGGTACGGAATTGCCAGAAGTTCAAATGGGATTAAGAAGAGGCAGTGACACCAGGGATATCATTGCTGATGTCAGATGGATCCTGGCTGAAAGTAAGGAATACCAGAAGAATATCTATTTGTGCTTTATTGACTATGCAGAGGCGTTTGACTGTGTGGATCATGATAAGCTGTCACTGACATTGGGAAGAATGGAAATCCCAGAGCACTTGATTGTGCTCATGAGGAACCTATACCTGGACCAGGAGGCTGTTGTGTGAATGGAACAGGGGAGCACTGTATAGTTTGGAATTGGGAAGGGAGTAGTACACCAGGGATGTATTCTGTCTCCATACCTGTTCAATCTAAATGCTGAGCAGATTATCTTGTAAACTGGACTCTATAAAGAGGAGTGTGACATCAAGATTAGAGGGAGATGCATCAATAACCTGCGTAATGCACATGACACAATCTTACTTGCTGAAAGTGAGGAGGACTTGAGCACTTATTGCAGAAGATCAAGGAAAGAAGCCTTCAGTATGGATTGGGTCTCAAAATCAAGAACACAAGTAGATGTTCATTGAAATGAAAAAGAAATAAATAATAATTTAAAAAAATCAAGAACACAAAGATTCTTACCACTGGGCCACTAGGAAGTGTCATGATGGATGGAGAGGAGAGTGAAACTGTCAACAGCTTCATCGTGGAGACACATTGCACTGGGAAAATCTGCAAATAGGGACCTTTCCAAACTATTGAGGAGTAGTGATGTCAGTTTGAGGACTAAGGTGCTTCTAATTCAGGCATCAGGGATAGCATCGCTGATATCAGATGAATCCTGGCAGAAAGCAGAAAATACCAGAAGAATGTCTGTATTTTATTGACTGTGCACAAGTATTTGACTGTGTGGATTATAACAAATTATGGCTAACATTGAGAAGAATGGAAATGCTGTTGTTTGTTGTTGTTGTTGTTGTTGTTGTGTGCCCATAGAGTCGGAACCAACCCGACTGACCCGGGGGAGGGGGATTCAGAGGCAGTTAATCACATGGAAATTTCCCATCCTTCCCCCACGGAGCAGCTGATGGCCTCGAACTGCATACCTTCACGGATTGCAGGTGCAGCTTCTTGCCACTGGGCTGTCATTGCTCCCTAATGGGAATCCTAGGACATTTAATCATGCACATATGAAATCTATACCTAGCCCAAGAAGCTGTTGAACAAACAGAATAAGGGAGCACAGTATGGTTTTAAATCAAGGTGTGTGGCAGGGTTGTATCCTTTCTCCAATGCAGGGTTAGAGGGTCCTATTATTAAGTTAATGAAGAGCTTGAATACAATGCAGGATAGAATTAGCCTGCAGCAGTTGGAGAATTAGAACTCAATAAAAAGGTTTTCTTCAGAACTTGCACCACTAAAAACAAAACACATAAAACCAAACAAAATATAGGACACTTTTTGCAAGTCTTGTTCTTCAGTCATGTATCCCCTTTCCAGGCTCTAAGTTGGCCAGCCTGGTCCACGTGGGCCAGGCTCTGAGCTAAAGGCTATGGGATGTTCACAGTCTATCTGGAGAAACAAGATGTACAAACAGCAGAACTTCTCACAGTGGTGGAAAATATCCAGCTCCTTCTCCAGGACCCCTTTCTCATTACTTCTGGTCAGGGGAGTTTTGCCTCGTGGATGGTACCCCTTCGAATCCATGTTGTTGTTATGTGACATCAAGTTAACTTCTATTCATAGTGACTTTATAAAAAATAGCCCCGAACCCTGCCCTATCTTGAGCTAATCTCACTGTCTCTGACACACCTAGCCCGTTACCCCAGTTGCTGTGTCAATCCATCTCATCCAACGTCTTACTCTACTGTGCTGTCTCTCCACCCTTCCAAGAGTGTCCTTCTCCAAGGATCAGTCCTTCCTGGCCACATGCCCAAAGTAGAGATGGAGATTCAAAATCCTTGCCTCCAAGGAGGAACCTGGTTTTACCCTGTCCAGGACAGACTTTTTTTGTTCTCTTGGAAGTCCATGGTATATTTAATACTCTTCTCCAGCACCACAACTCAAAGGCATCAATTATTCTTCTTTCACCCTTAGTCATCATCCAGCTCTCTGATGCATAGCAAAATAATTGTGAAGACCATGGTTTGGATCAGGTGTACTTTAGTCTCTAGATTGACATTGTTGCTCTTCAGCATTCTAGAAAGGTCCCTGACAGCAGACTTATCCAGTGCAGTTTGTCTTTTGATTTCCTGACTGCTGATGTCAAGAGTGTTGATTGTGGATCTGAGCAAGATGAAATTGTTAACAGTCCCAATCTCTTCTCCATCTATCATGGTGCTGCCAATTTGGTGAGAATCTTTTTTTTTTTATGTTGAGCTTCAGTCAATATTAAAGGCTGCAGACCTTGACCTTTCACAGCAAACCCTTCAGGTCCTCTACAGTTTTGGCAAGTAAGGTTGTGTCATCTATATAACACAAGTCGTTGATGAGTTTTTCTCCAATCCTGATACTACATTCCTCCTCATAAAGTCCAGCATCCAGAATTATCTCTCCTGAATATAGATTGAAAAGGTATGGAGGAAAGATGCATTGCTGACACACTCCTTTTTTGATTTTGAACTGTGCAGTGTTTCCTTGCTCTGTTCTGACCACTGCTTCCTGGTCCAAGTGTAAGTTTCACACGAGCACAATCAAGTGCTCTGGGATTCCTATTCTTCTCAAGGTTACCCACAATTTGTTGTTATCCACACAGTCAAATTCCTTTGCATAATTAACTGAACACAAATGGACATCCTTCTAGTACTCTCTGCTTTCAGCCAAGAGCCTCCTGACATGATGCTTCTAGTGCCACAGCCTCTTCTAAATCCAGTTTGTATCATCTGACAATTCTTTGTCTACTGTTCCAGCCATTTTGGGATAATCTGCAGCAGGATTTTGCTTGTGTGCGATATTAGTGATATTGTTCAATAATTTCCACACTCTGTTGGGCAACCTTTTATTGGAATGGGAATAAATATGTATCTCTTTCAGTCAGTTGGCCAGATAGCTATCCTCCAGATTTCTTGGCACAACCTGGTGAGCATGTTTGGGGCTGCATGTGTTTGGTGAAATATGTCAATTGGTATGCCATCAATTCCTGGGGCTTTGTTTCTTGCCCATTCCTTCATAGCAGCTTGGACTTCCTCCTTCATCACCTTGTCTCTTGTCTCTTGATTATATCTTATTTCATGAAATTCTTCTTTGTCAGACATTCTTTTTGGTCCAGTGACTCTGTACTCCTTCCATCTTCTCTTGATGCTTCCTACATCACTCATTATTCTGCCCAAAGCATCCTTAAGTATTGCAAGTTGAGATTTGAATTTGCTCCTCAGTTTCTTTAGCCTGAGAAATGCAGAACAAACTCATCCCTTTTGATTTTCTGACTTCAGCTCTTTGCATATTTCATTATAATACTTCGCTTTGTTTTCCGAGCTGCCCTTTGAAAAAATCTTTTCAGATCCTTAAGTTCCTGACTTCTTCCCTTTACTTTGGCTTCACTGTGTTCTAGTGCAAGGTTCAGAGCCTCATCTGACATCTATCTCTATCTTTTCTTCCTCCTCTGTCTTTGCTATGACCTTTTGCATTCTTCATGGATAATATTCTTTATATCCTCCCACAGCTCATCTGGTCTTCATTCATTAGTGTTCAAAGCCTCAAATCAGTGCTAGAGATGGTTTTTTAAAATTCAATTGAAAGAGAATCAGTGTCAAATTTTGGTTCTTGTGGGTTTGTTGTAATTTTCTTTTTTTTTTTGTGGGTGGGTTTTTGTTTTTAATTTTTGTTGTTGTAGTTTTCTTTAGCTTTAGTTTGAACTTACCTGTGAGTGTAGTTGATGGTCTTGAGCTTCTTCAGCGATTCTTTCCACAGATGTAACCTGATTCCTGTGTAGTCCATCAGGTGAGGTCCATGTGTATAGTTGCTGTTTGTGTTTCCTATACAAGGTATGTGCAATGCAAAACTCGTGCAAAATTCTATTTCCAATCGCATCTCTCTCATCAAATATCTATTTTCCGACTACTGATCCTTCTTCCTTTTGCTTTCCAGTCACCTACTGTTGCTCTCGAGTCATCAACTGTTCCAAGTTGTAGCAAGAAGCTGCGCCGCAATCCTGAAGGCATGCAGTTTGAATCCACCATCTGATCTGCTGGAGAAGGATGGGCAGTCTCCTTCTGTGGGATTAACTGCCTCTGAAAACCTGCTGGAGGGTCCGTTATGGGTCGGTTCTGACTCGATGGTCAACAACAACAACAACAACCCAATTATTACTAATGAATCTTGGTTGCATATTCAAGCTATTTCTAATTGCAAAAGTTGGTAGAAATTTTCTATTTCCTCCTCTTTGGCTCTGATTGTTGGCGCATATATTAAAATTATAGTGGCATTAACTGGTCTTACTTGTATGCCTATGGATTTTATCCTGTCACAACATTGTACTTCAGAATGAAGCCAGAAATGGTCTTTTTGACTATGAATGTGATCCCATTGAGAACCGCCGGTGTTGACAGGTCAGCCCAGTGACTCCGATGATGGTGTCCCACACAGTACAGGTGTCAGGAGAGAGCCCAGTGACTGTGATGATGGTGTCCTACACTATACAGGTGGCAGGGGAGAGCCCAGTGATGCCAGTGATGGTGTCCCACACTGTGTAGGGTGGCAGGCCTGCAGAGGCCTCAAGAAGAAGTGCTTGGCTGTCCGGGAGCCTCAAATGAGCCACGTCACAGGTGAGCCCACAGGTGTGGGTGCTGACGGGGTAGGCTGGACAAAGGCCTGTATCACAGACAAGGGGTATGAGCCTTTCCACACGTTTATCGAGCCCTCTCAACGTGCCAGGACGTGGGAGCATCTTCCAGGAAGATGAAGGAAAGCCCGTTTATGCATTGGACAGACATCTGTCAAGCACCCACTCTGTTCCCAGCACTGTGGCTGAATGGATGATAAGACCGGGCCTGCTCTCCAGAGCCAGGAAGACTAGGCGTGTACACACCCGCCACTGACTGGGGAGGCAGAGATAAGCTGCGTGGGAGAGCAGAGCAAATATCACTACTTACTTGCAGCTGGGGCAAACTCAGGGGGCTTCCTGGAGGAGGGGCCGGCTGGGCACGATCCTCCTATCGTGGCCCCCACCTGTATTTAACTCTTTTTCACTTCCCCACCTGTATTTAACTCTTTTCACTTCCCAGCGTGGTGGTCTGGCTGTCCTTGTGAACTCTGCTACTGAGCTGGGAGCACTTGGTGCCCAGCTCCTCCTGCCAAGTGCTGTGCCACTGGGTGCCAGGCACTGTTCTAGATACTAAGCCCACAGGAGTGAATAAAACATGAAAGCATATCCCTGGAGTTTTGGTTTGTTTTGCTTTGTTTTTAATAAGATATGTAGTTAATTACCTATGTGTTATCAGGTAAGTGAATAGAGAAAAAAGAAACGGGGCAGATGGCTGAGAATATACTTTTAACTAGGATGCCTCCTCATGGAGGAGGCAAGTTTTCACTCAGCAGTGAAAGGAACAGACACACCCTCCTTCCCCCCACTGACCCCCAGACTTCCCAGACATCCCTAGGCCCCATTCCCAGGCCTGAGCATGAGTTTACCTTGGCCCCAGTAAGAACCCACTCAGAGTCGGTCTAAATCTAGAATATCCAGAGATGGCAGGAGGGCAGTGAAGCAAGGCGACTGAGCCTAGCTAGTCCCGGCTGGCAGCTCCCTGACCACGTGGGGCGTAAACCTCTCTGGGTTCTGGAATTTTGCATCCTTAGATATTCCCACCCCACAGACTGGGTACAAGAAAAGGGCAGACATGGTCTGGGGGAACCAATAAATGTCAGAGCCACATCAAACGGCCCTGAGGCGAAAGCCCCACAACCATCCGGGAAGTGGGTGCTGACACCCGCTGGCCCTGCACTGCCCTCCAGGTGAGGGAGGACAGGAGCAGGGAACCTACGGCCGCCACCTCCCTCTCACTTAGCCCGAGAGGACAGAGTTACCCTGAGCGAGCGTATAGGGTCCCTTGGTGTGCTCAGGAAGTGTCCGTACTCAGTCATGCCCAAAAGCTATGGCCTGGTCCTAGAGCAGCCAGAGGGGGTCTGCCCAGAGAGGACACTGGACAGGCATCCTGTGACAGGCACCATGCTGCCCACCCTCTGGGTCACTCCCACTCACACTATCAGCGTTAGTGCCTTTTTCCCATAATGAAAAAATAGAGAAGACAGAATCCACCCATGATCCCAACTTCTTGACAGAACCACCACCGTCTGTGGATTGAACAGAGTTCCAGTATTTTGTACCTACTCTGTAAAAGTGGAGCTCTGATGCCCTAGGGGTAAGAATCCATGCTGCAATCCCAAAGGCACATGGTTAGGATCCTATCAGCTGATCTTCAGAAGAAAGATGGGCAATCTCTTCCAGTGCAATTTTGTTGTTGTTGTTCTTGTTATGTGCCGTCGAGTTGCTTGTGACTCATAGCGACCCTATGTACAACAGCCCTAAACTCTGCTCTGTCCTGTGCCAATCGCACTGTCCCTGACACACCCATCCCGATTACCCCAGTCACTGAATCAGTCCACCTCATAGAGGGCCTTCCCCTCCTGCGCTGTCCCTCCACTCTACCAAGCATGATGTCCCTCTCCAAGGACCGGTCTCTCCTCAGTGCAATTTACTACTTCTTAAAACCCACTGGAGGGTCAGCTATGGGATGGTTCCCACTTGACAGCACACAACAACAATAAATAATATAACGTTGAGGCCGACAGAATAAAAGAGTCAATTTCCTCCTAGTCTTTTTCATATTTATGTTTTTGTGTGTTTCAAAACCAACACAAAACAATTTTCTGTTTGGATCTTTTTGGTGGTTTCCTTTTTTTAGCATCTTGCCTTGTATTTCACCATAGTTTACATACCATTTCCCTATTTTTGGACATTTGCATTATTTTTTTATCTTATTTGTTATAAATCTATGTACCTGGTGTTTTTAAGTGTGTAACACTGTGGTGGCGGCCGTGTCTCTGGGATGTTGGAAGCTATGCTAGCAGTATTACAAATACCTAAAAGAGTTGCAACACGTAAGCATTTTTATGGGCAAAATAATGAATGACTCAAGAAGCATCAAATGACAATAGAAGAAATACATATTTGGTGCATAAAAAAACCTGATTAACATTCAATAAGTCAAATGACCAAGTATTGATGGTCTTCAAGTAGACACTGTACTGAAGATATTGGTGGAAAACAAAACTGTAGGAACTGACAGAATGGACATTAGGTATTTAAATAAACAAAGGCAATGTTAGAAACCTCACTCTTACCAAGACAGCTGAAAGTCAGCTACCTGGCCAACTGACTGGAGAGGTCTGTATTTGTTGTACCTATTTCAAGGAAACACGACCCAAGTGAATGTGGACATTATCAAGCAATACCGTTAATATCACACACAAGTAAAATCTTGCAGATGTGAAAAACAGAGCACGACACTGCCAGAAATTCAAACTGGATTCAGAAGTTAAGTGGTGTTGAGTCAGAGCCGACTCACAGCTGACCCTCCAGCAGGTTCTCAGGGGGAGTAAATAGCAGAGCAGCTGGTGGATTCAAACCACATGCCTTTGGGATTGCAGCGCAGCTTCTTATCACTGAGCCACCAGAGCTCCCTGAAGAGGATTTGGAATGAAGTATAGTGTTGTGCACACCAGATGGATCTTGGTTGTGAGCAGAAAATACCAGAAAGGGGTTTTCTTGTGTTTTATTGTGGCTAACATTCAGAAGGAAGAGAATTCCAGAACACGTAATTGTGCTCATGTAGAATCTGTCTGTACACCAATAAGTAGTCACTCAAACAATACAGGGGGGATATTCAGGCCATGGTCTTTTCAGTCACTTGCTATGCATTTGAGAGCTGGACAGGGAACAAGGATGACAAAAGAATTGATGCCTTTGAACTGTGCTATTGGAGAAGAGCACTGAACATCCCCGGAACTGCCAAAAGAACAAGCAAATAGGTCTTGAAGAAGGTGCAGCCAGAATGCTCGTTGGAGACAAAGATGACAAAGTTTTGCCTCTCATATGTTGGCATGTTGCTAAGAGAAGCTATTCCTTGGAAAGCAAAAAGAGAGGAAGACCCTCCCCCACAATGAGGTGGTTTGACACAATGGCTGCAGCAGTGGGACAAGTGTGTCAGAAATGATGAGGAGGCCACAGGGCAGGACGAGGCTCACGTGTGATGATCACAGCGTTGCTATGAGTCGTACTTGACTTGATGGCACTGAACAGTAACGTGGTTTAAAATCAGGAAAGGTGTGCAAGGGTCACATCCTTTCCCCACTCTTCTTCATTCTGTATACTTGAGCAAGTGTATCCAAAGAGCTGGTCTGTAAGAAGAATGTGGCATCAGGATGGGAGGCAGACTCTTTAACAGCCTTGCAGATGACACAACTTTGCTTGCTGAAAGCAAGGAGAGCATGAAGCTCTTAGAGAAAAAAGGTTAGACTACAGCCTTTAATAGGGATTTCCCTAACACATGTATTGTCGTAAATGGACCATCATAAGTGGAGAAAAGATTGACATTGCCAAGGGTCTAATTTTATTTGGATCCACAATCAATGCACATGAAAGGAGTAATCAAGAGACATACTGTATTGGGCAAATCTACTGCAAAACCCCCACCAAAAAAACCCAAAAAGAAAACAAAATTGCCTCTAAAGTGTTAAGAAGCAAAGGTGTCACTCGAGGATTCAAGTGTGCCTGACTATTTTCAATCACGTCACATGTACGTAAGCACCCTGGTGGCCCAGTAACTAAAGCGTTAGGGTGCTCACAAAAATGTCAGTACTTCCACCAACCCACCAAGCGCTCTGAGGGAGAAAGATGAGGCTGTCTACTTGCATTAAGACTTACAGAATGGACATAAAGGGCGGGGTGGGGGGGTGGAAGCAGAGGGATGAGGATGTGCAGGGGGAAAGGGGAGTAATCATGGGGTCATGGGGTTGTATAGTTTGTTGGGTGACAGGGTGAGGGAAATTGGAAGAATCTGTTATGGAAAACAATGTATTAGGATTTTGTAAATAAACTAGTATAATGTTTTAAAAACCCATGTTTAAAAAAGATTTATAGCTTTTGAAACTCAATGAGAAAGTTCTACTCTACCTCACAGGGCTACTGTCCATTGGAATTGACATAATGATGCAGGGACAAGCTGCTTTGAGGGCAAAGAAGGGAGAGTGGGCCCAGCAGACAATGAGAACGTCCTTCCCTGTCACCCTCTTCCCAGGTAGGGCTGGTGGACTACGAAGGATTAGCTTGCATTCAGCCCAGGCCTCAAGGAGGGCTGAAAATGGTCAGGGCTGTGAGTCCAGGTCTGGAGGCAGTGACTGAAGTCCTCTTAGGCCACAGACCTGCTGCCTGACCTTTTCTTCACTAATCCTCGGGGTCTTGTCTATGAAATGGGCGTGATAATAACTCCCACCTCACAGGCTGTGCCGATTGGGTGAGATAATAGATAGAACACGTCTGGGATATAATAAACATCCAGGGACGGGTCCTGCTGTTACAATATTACTATTATTAAGGAACCCTCAGCCACTCAAACTCTGGCCTGGCCACGCCTGGCTCCCTGAGTTCCTGGTGCCACACCCCACACCCTACACTCTTCCGTATGTGTGCTAGGCTTTGTCGGGCCCTCCTCACCCACCCAGGAAGCATCAAAGTTCTGAGGAATCTCTGGAAGGGGTAGCACTCTGGAAGTTTGAGGAATGGGAGGAGACATGGAGAGTTGGTGTTGGCTTGGATTCCCAAGGACCCCTGAGCTTGATGGGGAAGGGCGCCCAGATAAAGGGATGTACTGGGTCCTGACCAGGCACTCAGGCCCCAGAAGGGTCAAGATAAAGGTAGCTGCTACGTGCCAGGCTCTGTGCTAAGATATCATCCTTGCCTCACAACAATCCTGAGAAGTAAGAATTGTTATCTTCGGCGAGCTCTGGTGGTCTAGTGGCAGGAAGCTGCACTGCAATCCCAAAGGTTCGCGGTTCAAATCCACCAAATGTTCTGCTGAAGAAAGAGGAACAATCGCCTACTGTACCAGTCAGATCCAATTTGATGGTACACACATAAAAAAAAAAATCATAATTTAAAAAAATCAAATAAGGAAATTTTTTAAAAAAGAATTGTTATCCTCATTTTATAGACAAAGAATAGGGCTCTGCTGGCACTGTTGGTCCCTCTCACCACACTTCAGGAAGGGGTGCATGGACAGTGGAGGGCCCCGGGGGGGACACACAGACCCAAGGCTAACAGCCCACCTGAGTAGCCCCTCTGTGGCATCTCACCTTCCCCATAACCCCCCACCTGAGTAGCCCCTCTGTGGCATCTCACCTTCCCCATAACCCCCCACCTGAGTAGCCCCTCTGTGGCATCTCACCTTCTCCATGACCCCCCACCTGAGTAGCCCCTCTGTGGCATCTCACCTTCCCCATAACCCCCCACCTGAGTAGCCCCTCTGTGGCATCTCACCTTCCCCATGACCCCCCACCTGAGTAGCCCCTCTGTGGCATCTCACCTTCCCCATGACCCCCCACCTGAGTAGCCCCTCTGTGGCATCTCACCTTCCCTATGACCCCCACCCGACTCCCTTTCTGCCTCTTCTCAGCCAATGACCCATCCCAGGCATCCTCTGGCATCATTTTGTGAAAAGGACACTAGTCTTACCCAGGTAGTTGTTGTTATGTGCTGTTGGGTCGGAACCTGCTCGTAGTTGAGTCCCAGATGGAGGTTTTTCTGCTTTGTTTAGTTTTTAAATTTTTATTTTATACTGGTTTCCTTACAAAGGCCGTGTGCGTTGTGTTCACACTGTCCTTCATTCATCCAGTGGGTTTTCAGAGGCAGTAAATCATCCGGCCTTCTCCTGTCACAGCTGGTGAAGGCAAACCACTTGCTGAGGTGGCAGCACAACTAAGCCACCAAACCCCGAGGCAGCTGTTGCTGCTGTTTTTTGTGTGAGGTGCCATTGGGTCGAGTGTGACTCACAGTGACCCGGTGAACAACAGTCCTGAGTCCTGTCCCATCCTGTACCATCTTCATCATCTCTGACACACTTGACCCCATTGCTGCAGTCACTGTGTCAGCCCATCTCATTGGGAGTCTTTCTCCCTTTCCTGACCCTCCACCCTTCCAAGCTTGATGTCCCTTTCCAAGGAATAGCCTCTTCTAGAAGCAAGTCTTAAATATAAGAGAAAAAGCTTCATCATCTCTGCCTCCAAGGAGCACTCTGGTTGCCCTTATCTGCTCATTCTCTTGGCCGTCCGTGGGATGTTCAGTGCTCTTCTCCAACACAACTCAAAGACATCAATTCTTCTGTCATCCTTATTCATTGTCCAGCTTTCAGACGTATAGCAAGTGATTGAAAAGACTATGCTCTGAATCAGGTGCAGTTTAGTCTTCAGATTGATGTCATTTCTCCCCACAGGAATCTGTGACTACATCTGAGGAAAGAACGGTGGGAGCAGCTCAATATCAGCAGTCAAAACCAGGCCAGCTGCTGACTGTCGGACATCAACTACTCGTGTGCAAGTTCAAACAGAGGCTGAATAAAATGAAAACAAGTCCATGAGAACCAAAATATGACCTTGAATCTGTCCCATCTGAATTTAAAAATCCTCTCAAGAACAGGTTTGAGGTATTGAAGGCTAGGGATCAAAGACTAGAGGAACTGTTGAATGACGTCAAGGATAGCAACCCTGAAGAGAGCGAAAGGTCATTACAAAGACAGATGAGAAAGAAAAAACCAGAATGGAGGTCAGAATACAATTTCCTCTCATAATGCTGTTTATGAGGACTTAAGTCTCCCAACTCTTCCCACCTGGCCCCTGGCCACACTGAGCCCCAGAAACTCCCCTAAGCCCTGGTGTCCAGCTCAGTGAGCCTGGTGACCTCCCACCACACCAAATTTGCCCTGTGTCCATTGTCCTCCAGACAGAGTCCCTAGGGCTGACCCCTCTGCTTGCTAACTTTGGGAAGACTTATCCCCCCTGAATGTTAGTGCCAATGTCCACCATGCTTCCTCACTGGGCACAGTGAGCTGTGGACATGAGAGAAATGATGGGCTTGTGCTGAGAAGCTGTAATCTACCCCCAAAGCTGTTTCCACTCCATATCGTCACCAGCAGCTCTGAAAGGCCCTAGAAGGAGGTGTCTCTCTCAGGCCCCAGATCACCATTCAGTGCCCTGTCTGGCCTGACACCCGTTCTGATCTGGGCCTTGGCCTCTCTCCTCTACTATGGGGCCAACAAACACCAGCCGCCTGACTGGAGGTCTAGGGAGGAAGCTTCATGTTTGGTGTCTCCTTTCTTCACGGAGCTCAAAGCACTTTTATAAGCATTAATGGCCTTCATCCACGCTGGTTGTTGTCTTGTTTTCATGTTTTATTATTAGCTGAGGTGTTGTGTTTAACCCTCAGGCACCCCAGCAAGGGGGAATTCCCCAAGCCGGAGGCAGAGAAGAGGGAGGACAGAGGACGCTTCCACCTGCAACTTAGCTGTCTATAGAGCTCCCCAAACCCTCAACAGCTGTCAGGAAAGGCGTCCCTAAGAGGCCACCAGCCCCAAGGAGGAAAGCATTGGCTCTGACAATGGCTTGGAGACCACTCCTCACTCTGGCTGATTATGCCTTCAGTTCAGTAAAGAAATAGTGTTGATATGTACCTTCAAGTTGGAACTCAGTCGTAGATGACCCTCCAGTGGGTTTTCAGAGACTGTAAAATTGCACGGGATGAAATCGTTCATCTTTCCCCCATGGAGCAGCTAGTGGATTTGAACCACTCGCCTTTAGGATGGCAACATGACTCCTTAACATTGGGCCACCAGAGCTCCCTAAAGAAATAATAGTGTGTTTGATTACTAGATGCTGCACTAGACCTCAGTGCATTTTATTTGAGGTGTGAATGTGTATGGTATCATCTTTCTGAAAATCCAAAGAATACTGCTGAACTAAGTGTCGCTGAGGGTTTCAGATAAGGGACTGTGGACCTGTGGTCGCTGACAGTAGGGAATTGCATTGCATCTCGGACACTGATCCCAGCTCCACACAAACACCAACCCATGCAACCCCAGCACCTCACCTCCTTCCATTTTATACTGGAAGAAGCTCAAGGAAACCCTGAGAGGTTGAAGGACTTTGCTAAAGTCACACAGTAAATTTCAAGGTAGACACTCAACAGCAGGATGGTTAAGTACTCCGCTGCCAACCCAAAGGTCAGTGGTTCAAACTCACCCAGCAACTCCGTAGAGTCAGCTCCCACAGAGATTACAGCCTAGAAAACACTTTGGGGCAGTTCTGCTCTGGCACATGGGATTGTTTGGAGTTAGAATAAACTCTACAGCCCTGGACAACAACTTTGGGCATGGTGTTGGGAGGGGTCAGTCCTTGGAAAAAAGACATTATGTTGGGAAAGTGGAGGGTCGGCTGAAGAGAGGAAGACCCTCAACGAGATGGGTTGGCCCAGTGACCATAACAACGGGCTCGAGCGCAATAGATTGTGAGGATGGTACAGGACAGGGTCCTTAGGAGCAGTAGTTGACCTGTCGGCATCTAACAACTACAGCAATTGGCACTGGGCCTCGGTCCTGGAGTCCCGGCCATGCCTGCCTCAGCCCCCTGGATGGGGCCTGCCTATAGCCGAGAAATCACAGCTCGCTTGATCTTTCTCTAGCCCGTTCACAAGGAGTTTGAAATGGAAGTTTGCGTGGAAAGTTTTTCGATTTCACGGGATTGAAACCAGATGACCCTGAGCAAACAGGCCCCACCAGCAGGCGTCCTGGGTGTGAGCTGCGTTCCACACGCCTGTTCCCAGCCGGCCAGGGCAGGGGGACCCGGGTCATGGTGGGGCCCAGGCCTCCACCTCCTGCCTCCCCGGCTGTTCTCCCTTCTCTCCTCGGTGCATCTGGTCCGGAAAGCTCACATGACTGAGAAGCCAGCAGACGGGAGCTGTGGACGCGGCACAGCAGACGGAGGCATCACGCTCATGGGAAGGAACCAGAAACACACCTTCCCTCGGAGATCAGCTTCTCCAACACCCTTCCATTTGTGTCTCAGTTTCCGAAGAGAAAGGTAGCCATTCTTCATTTATGACCACCCATTTCCAATCCTTTGTCTGTTGCTTCCCTTGCTAATTCATCCTAGACGCTGCGCTGTAATCCCGAAAGCATGCAGTTCAAATCCACCAACTGCTCCACGGGAGAAGGATGAGCAATCTCTTCCTGTTCTATTTACTGTCCCTGAAAACCCATTGGAGGGTCAGCTATGAGTCAGTTCTGACTCTAGGACACACAACAACATGGCCCATGTAATGAGTCCTGGTGATAAAACAGACATTCCGCTACTAACCGCTGAGAAGTCAGCAGTTCAAATCCCCAGCAGGGGAAGGTGGGGTGTCTGTGGGGAGAAGACCTGGTGATTTACTACAGTAAAGGTCCCGGCCGAGGACACACTGTGGGTCGGCTCTGCTCTCCCACACCAGAGTCCTCATGAATCAGAACCGACTTGATAGCCCCCAAGAGGAGCAACAATTGCACAACTACAGCAAACACCCTGGAAGTGGGGGCTGTACCTGAGACTCTGGGCTCGCAGGTGGACAGACACAGCCTCCCCTGTAGGAACTCTTGGCCACACTGGGCAGTTGTCCACAGCCCACAGAGACCTGAGTCGATTGGTTCCTTGTACGAGGAATGAGCTGGATCCTAAGGGATAGGGGAGAAAGGATTTTCAAGGGTAGGGGTCAGACCTGGTGGCTCTGGTAGGTTTGGGCAAGGTCTACAGAGATGAGGAACTGGTGACGAAGGGACCAGGTTAAAGGTCACTGAAATTTGTCCTGGAGGGTGGGGAGCAAGAGGGCATGTCATGCCTGCTGTAGCCTGGCTGGGGTGTGACAGACTCTGGGCTGGTTTAGGGGGTCCCCTCTCTCAGGCGTGGTCCCTGAACCATCTCTGTGGTCTCCCCACACGAGGACTCCTCTTGGCCAGAGCTTGTCACCAATGGGGTCTTCGACCAAATGACCGAGCTGAGCTGACCCAAAGGTCACCTACCATGGTGACAATCCCTCCTGAGCCAGACTCCAAGTCCATGCTGCTTCTAGAAAGAGGAGGCCACAGGGTACGCTGGCCATGCACCTGTGTTCACCACGCTAGGAAGTCATTGTTCACTTGGTCAAAAACTACTAAGACTTGGCACTGTGGTGTTTTTAAAAAAACCCAAAAAACAACAAACTTCTCATCTTTTAGAGATATAACTACTTATGGGCAAAATAACATGATGTCTCAGAATGTTTAAAATACCAAGAAAAGCATGGAACAGGAAGTCAAAAAGATGAGAGAATGTTGATAAGTGTTGGTGGGGGGTCATGGTACTCTTTTTTTTTTTTCTTCCTTGTGCGTGTTTGCACAATTTCTTGAGACAAGTCTCAGGTGGCAGCATGAATATGTGCATTTTTTTTTCTAGGGTGCAACCCCTCTGCAGGGCTGGAACAATGTCAAAGTGACCCCACTTGTTTGCACATCTAATTAGTCTCAGGTCCTATGCACGCTACCTGCCTCAGCCCTCACTTGGCTGTCCTGTCCAAGGCCCCAATGTCTCCAGGCTGCTCTCTGCCCTCATCTAGTCCAGCAAGCCCCTCACTTAGCGGGCATGGAACTTACATCTAGTCTAGTTCTACAGTTGGACATGAACCTCAGCTGTGTGTTTGGCTTGTGGAGTTGATGGCAAGTCCCCAGCACCCCAGGGAGAAGGGACACTGGAAACAGAGAGCCGTGCCAGGAGATCAGGGGCACGGGCATCACGCCCTTGGAGTCCTGCCAGGGTGCACAGTACTGGGCGATGGCTTCCAAGGAAGTCCAGTGGTGACCGTGCATGCTCACACCCCGGCCTGCTGGACAGGTCTTTGTGGCCACAGACAAGGCTGCCGTCCCCTCCCTGTCTGGGGCCTGCCAAGCTTGGTCTGCGAGTGGGTCTGGTACAGGCTCATTCAGCTCTTTGCAGAAATGACAACTGTGTCCTGGGGGCTGAGGCTCCTCTGGGCTTCCAGGGCCTGGGGTACAGCTGGTGGGAGCAGGGGGTCGAGGGGAGAGGTGCTGATCTTCCAGAGCTAAAGCCAGCGGGTGGGAAACTGAAGCTGACTCATAGTGACGCCACATGTGTCAGGAGAACTGTGTCTACAAAGTTTCCAGGAGTTGATATTTCAAAAGTAGATTGATAGATCTGAGTGGACTTGAACCTCTAAAATTTCAGTTTGCAGCTGAAAGCTTAACCATTTGTACCCGTAGGGACTCCCTTTCCAGAAGAGTCTGTGTTAGCTGCCATGTGAGAGGGGGATGAGGAGAATTATAAGGGAGAAAAGATTAAAACTGTCCATGACGTCCTCTTACTTGGATCCACAATTAACACCCTTGGTGTACCCGCAGTCAGGAGATCAAGCGACATATTGTACTAAGAAAGTCTGCAGGCAGAGACCACTTCAAATTATTGAGGAGCAATGGTGTCAGTTTGAGGCCTAAGGTGTGTGTAATTTAAGTCATGGTCTTTCCAATCATTTGCTATGCATCTGAGAACTGAACAATGAAGGATGACAGGAGAATGGATGCCTTTGAGCTGTGGTGTTGGAGAAGAGCACTGAATATCCCATGGACCGCCGAAAGAACAAACAGATATGTCTTAGAGAAAGTGTAGCCAGAGTGCTCCTTGGAGGCAATGGTGATAAAACTTTATCTCACATACTTCGGGCATGTTGCTAGAAGAAGCTATTTACTGGAGACTACTCACAGACTATCATGCTTGGAAGGATGGAGGGTTGGAGAAAGAGAGAATGACCCTCAACCAGATGGACTGACATAGTGGCTGCTGCAGTGGGCTCAAGCATGTCACAGATGAGGATGGCACAGGAGAGGACAGAGTTCAGGGTGGCTAAGGGTCATGCTTGACTCGAAGGCACCTCCCAACAACAAAGGAGAAGGAGACAAACTTGCTCGTCCTGGAGCCCTGCCGAGCAGCTCCAGTCTGGCTAATTGAAAAAGCATTCCTGCTGATTTCTTCCATCTTCTCCCAGATGCTTAATGAATAAAATGGCTTTTCCGTGCCTCCCGAGCCGCCACACACAGCCTGGGCAGGCCCCGCAGTGCCGTGAAGGTCCCACAGCTCGCTTTTCCCAGGGCCCCTCCCACCCGGCGCAGACCGGGAGGCGGTTTCTCAGTCACGAATTGGCCTGTGAGGCCAGTGAGCGCCTGGGCCTCCTGCCAGGAGCGTGAGACGGAGAGCTGGGCTCAGACACCAGACACTGTCCCCAGCGTCTGTGCTTGGCCTCACCGCCCTTGGCCCTGCTCTCTTCACCTCTGAGCCTCCCTGGGCACCCAGCCTCCTGATGAAGGAGCCTGTGGGCGGGTGATGGAGCAGAGTGGAGCTACTGGGGCCCGTGACCGTGGGTCTGACCTCCTTCCCACAGGACGTAACTGCCTCATTCCCACTCGACACTGCAGGCTGAGTGGGCAGGCAGACAGCTGTGGACGCCCAAGAGTGACTCGTGCTGACGAAGGATGACTTGGGGACAGTGCCTGGGGGGTCCCAAGGCCCCACAGTCAGCCCAGTCTGCAGCTTGGATGAGCCTGCTTTTCCAAATCCATTTCAACCGAGGGCCAGGAGCCCTGGCCAAGGACTGAGCTGGCTGCCCCCTCCCTCCTGGACCACCCACGGGGGCTCTATCAGCTTGTGTTAGTCTCCAGATTACCAGCCCGCTGTCTCTGAGCTGCACAGGCCACCCCTCTCCTGGCCAGCTGCTTCATTCCAGCACTGACCCGGGGCGGGCATCTGAGCTTTGGGACTGAAGAGGTTAGATCAACCCAAAGAAGCTCCCACCTGGACGGGCCTCTATACCGAAGACCCAGCATCTGAGAGCTGCTGGCACGGAGGGGACAGTCCTGCTCACACAGAATTGGCCCCACTGAGTCTTGATCTCCCGTCCCCGGGTTCTTCCCAGTGTTCCTCACATCATCCCTGCCCTCCACCCCTAACATTTGCTTGCACTAGTTCCTTCCTCTCTGCAGATCTAGATCCTGCCCCCCTGTCAAGGCCGGGTCATTTACGGGGCCTGGGGCACCCTGCACCCCAAGCAGGGAGTAAATGTCCTTCCCTTGAAAACTCACAGCTCATCTTACAGCAAAGTCCCACAACCTGGCAGACTCAAATAGCAGCCCTGACACTTCCCAGCAAGGTGACCTTGGGCTGGACACTGAGCACAGTTGCCTTAAATGTAAAATATGAATAATTATAATAATGGTGATACCAAAAGACTTTTACAGAATTTTCAACAGGACTAGCATGCAGCTTGCCTCCGACAGGGCTTGACACCTAATGGCTGCTCAGTAAACACAGCTGTTGTGATGATGGACAAGGCTGTGGTGGTGGCAGGGGTCACAGTTTCTTGTTTTATCTCTGAGAGGAGTGGAAGTCCCCTGTCATCCGGCTGCTGTGTTCCCTCTCCCCTCCCGTCCCCCTGCCACCCCTGTGACCTGTGGAGTGAAAAGGACGGGCACAGCGTAGAGGCCCCATAAGAACTTGGTTGAAGTATAAAGAAGTGGGGCCCCACTGGGAAATCAGACGGCCTCACTTCCCCAGCAGTGGACAGGCCTGAGCCGAGCTGACTCATGTGGTCAGGCTACCCCTTTCCAGGCTTCTATGCGAGCCAGGGCTCCGGGGCGGCCCTGGAGGGGAAGACTAGGCCTCAGGCAGGGTCACTCTTGGGACTGCATGTGACATGGAAATTGTCTTGAGCCCTCGTGGTAGCTGGTTGCTTCTGCAAAGAAAGGAAGCATCTTGGTCCCTCTTCACACAACAAACACTGAAAGCCGAATGGCCAGCCCACCAGTAAGCGGTCTCGGACGAGTCCCACACCTCTGAGCCTCGTGTCTGTCATCTGCATGCCGGGCACTCCAGGAAACACCTACTTCTAAGTGTTGTCCAGTGAGATGATAAGGCACAGGCTGGCCAAGGTAGCCTTCAATATTTAGAATGGCCCCTACTCCCTCCTTGTCTGGGGAGTTGGAGTTCTCTGGCCTGTAAAAATGGATCCCCCCACCCCCGGAGGCTGGTGTGCACTGTGTAGTTCCTGCACTGTGCTCTGACGCCTGGGGGCCCCCCCGAAGGCCGAGCTTAGGGGAGAGTGGCAGGAGCTCAGGACAGAGCCCAGCCCGCTGCTGTGGCTTCCTGTCTCCACCAGCCTCAGGAGCCTCAGCTGCCTGCCTGTGTCGAATCCCTTAATTTGAGGCCTGTCCCAGTCTGCACTAGCCCAAGGCCTGGATGCTAGAAATTCTCCTCCATCCTGGGTCTGCCTAAGCCTGGGGATCCCTTCCAAGCTGGACACCCTGAAGCTTTGAACACAGAGGAGTGCAGGCACCATTACCCTCAAGCCCAGCTGAAACTCACTTTGAGCAGTAAATTTGCCTCTGGTTTATCTGGAGGAAGGAAAACGACGTCATGAGGTAAACCGCACAGCCTGAAACCGAGAGCCCGGGTTGCTTTTTAGCAAAAATCACTTGTGCATGAAGGAACAGGGGAGCCAGGGCCCTTCTGGTCAGAGAGTGACCGGGAAAGCAGAGGGAGACTTCAAACGTGGAACCACAAGAAAACAGAGGCCCCTGGAGTGTGTGGACATCAGAGGCCAGGCACCATGGCTTCTGGCCAGCTGAGGAAACCTCTTCTATGGGGAATGTCACCTCGTTGGGCAGGGCAGGCTCAATCAGCTTCTCACAAGGTCTCGGGCTTGGAATGCTTATGGTGGTGGGAATAGTGACAGTGACAAGAAAAATCAAACAGGCAATGACAGGCTCCGTTCACGTGTGCCTGTTATCTATTACCTCCTCACGTTAGGACTCTGTAATACAGGCACTACCCCATTACTGCTGAAGAAGAGGAGGCCTATGGCTTTTAACCTCTGAGCTATAAGAGGTTGCAGGATGCACCCCAACTTGCCCCAGAACTGTGACCCCGAGGAAGCCCCTTCTCCTCTACCACCCTCCATTTCTTTACCAGTCCCATGGGGAGGAATTCTGTTTCCACCTTATAGATAAGAGATAGGATGGGATGAATTGAGCTTCCAGGATCATTTCATTACCCTGTCAGTGTTTTAAGTGAGTTTCTCTGGAGAATTTGGCTTCCAAGAGAAGGCTTGGCCATTGATCCTGATGGGCTGGCCCACGTGCAGTGCTGCCTGACTGGGGATAGAGGGTCAGAGGCAGAAGGGGACACTGCCTATGTGATGTGAACAGACAGAATGAAGGAGGAGAGCCCAAGTGCTACATGGGGAGCCCTAGCTGAGTTAAGAGGGGCCAGGGGAGTGATTCTCAGAAATCTCAGGGTCTCTACATCCTGGGATAATTCTAGCACTACAGGGAAGGGCTCTGGTGGTGTAATCTGTAGGGGATTTTGCTGCTAATAAAAAAGCCAAGTGTCTTGCAAGTTGAACCCACCAGCAACTGCACAGAATAAAGATGGACAATCTCCTCCTCTGTGATTTACAGGCCTGGGAACCTGCTGGAGGCTCAGTCATCAGTGGGTTCTGACTTGACGTCAGTGAGATGTGATGATCCGGTGATCCCTGAAGGAAGTTGTCTGTGTGTCTGTCTGGGTGAGAGTGAAAGGGGAGTGTGTATCCATGGTGTGTATGTGGGGAGATGTTGGGGGCTGAGACTCCTTGTCTCATAGCCCGGGTGGCCCCCAGACCAGTCCAGGCGTAGGTATACTTCCTCAGGGTGAGAATGGGCTTTGTCTCAGGAAGGTGCTGGCAACTGGGAGCAGAGGGGTTTCCCCAACTCCTGCCCTCACAGGCCTCCAGGTTCAGTGCTCTGGGGCTCAGGCTTGCCCTTTCCAACTCCTTTCCTATAAAATGATTCAGCACCTGACGCTTAGGATGGCAGCACTCAGCACAGCCCTCATTTCACAGATGAGGGAAAGGAGGACCAGCAGTGCAGGATCCAGAACCCAGGTCTCCTTGCTCCTGCTGTGGGGGTCCTCTACATCCCTTGCCACTGCTGTTAGCATCTTAATGTGATTTGCCCAAGAGAATATTCCCAAGATGCTGCCAGGAAGAGGCAAGGGGTTGAAGGAGAGGGAGGATCCCAGGGGCCAGTTTTTATGGGGTGCCCTTGAG